TATGGATGTTATTATAGAAGATCTTAACATAAAGATAAAAGATAAAAAGGTAATAAAAGATTTAATCTTAATGCTACTTTTTTATAAAAAGAACTTCTATTTATTTTGTAGGGACATGAATGAATCCAATCAAGATATATGAGATAAGAAATTCATACATGCATGTTTATAAAAGAATTAAAAATAAGATAAAGCAAAACTTATATCAAATTACCAAAAATTGATATGCAAAGAAGACCAATTGTCAACTTAGCTCAAAATCAAGTTCTAAGGTATAAAATAAGAACCACTTAGTGAATTTAAATTTTTTTAGTAGATTGAAGAGTAGAATTTGAAAGCACACTTGAAAAGAGAATTTTTGGTATTTTTTTTATATCAATTGAATATACATTGAATTTTTGATGGATGTTCAAAATTTAATAATGTTCTTGGTTGGTTTAGATTTTGAAAAAATAATATGTTTACAAATTTGAGGATTTCTTGAGCTTTGTATTATAAATATAAGTGAATTTTGGATATGCTAGTTAAAAATGTGCATACAAATTTTCATGTCAATCAAATAATCAGATCAAAATATGTGAAGGTTTTTGTAGATCGAGGTCTTAGAAATCAGAGTGTAGAAATCAATGAATATATTTGAGATCTATAGCAAGCTTTGAAGTGATTTTTTTTTTTTTGTAGATACTAGACTTGATTTTTAATATTTAAGTGAAATTTGAAAGCATTTCAATAGTTTAAGAAGGAGGTATTGGTGCTAGAATTTTTACATTTAAGTTAGAGTACAACATTATCCAATGCTTGATTGGATCATCTTATATTTTTCTCTATTGATAAGTGCAATCAATTTCATTTTTCTTGACTTTGTTTCTAATTAAGATATAAAGAAGTGTGCAAAATTTGAATTGATATTAATAATTTCATTATTAATTTTTGAGATTCAATTTTACTATAGGTTTTGATTTAGGATTTGTCCATGGTTTTGTTAGGACTTAAGATTTGGTCTAGAATTTGGTTAGGATTAGAATTTTCTAAAGGTTTGATTTAGAACTTAATTAAGTGTTTATTAGAATTTGTATAAGATTTATCTAGGATTTAAGATTTTATTAGGATTTCATTAAGATTTGACCTAAGATTTGATTAAAATTTAATTAAGATTTTAATTAGAATTTGATTTAAATATTAATTAAGATTTAATTAAAATTTCTATTTTTAATATTTCTTTAAGATTTTTTGTTTTTTTTCTTTGAAATTAATTTTTAACTTCTTTTTATTTCTTTTATAACTTCTTTTAAATTTATTTTGAATTGATCAAAGTTTTATTAGGATTATTAAGGTTTATTTAAAGTTTATTTAAGATTCTATGAGATTTAGTAGGATTGTTGTTGCATTTCTACTTATCTTTTACAACTAGGTGCTTGAAGCATTCTCAAGCAAGAATTCATGTAATGCAACAATGTGTTTGGTATCACAACCTTGGAAGAGACTATTGATGTTTGGTGATGTTATTAGAGGTAGGAATGATTTTTGATGTTATTCCAATTGTTTTATTTGAAAGAAGTTACAAAGGCCTGAACAATAATTAAATAACAAGGTGGTCTTTTTGTTCTAATATGAAACACTATTGATAGCTGAAAAGACTTATCAATCATCTGAAAAGAAAATAAATATTAAAATATATTTTAAAATTAATTTGCCACATCTTGGATTTCTTCAATATATGTTGACTACTCCTTGTGGAACTTGTCCCTAGAAGAAGGGAGAAAGGGATTAATGTCAGAGGTATACATATTTATTCAAATTTTTATCTATAAGATTAAATACAAGTAAATAAAAATAGATTTTTTTCATAATATTTTCTAGAGATACTTCTTAGAAGCTTCATAGATGTTGATTTGATTTTACATGTGTTTATAGTTGATTGATAGATTAAAAACTTAGTCAACAACCTAATCTTGTGTTAGTAGCTTGTAGAACAAGCTAACTATGTGATGCTATCATGATATAACATGAATAATAGATAAAAAAAAAGTAAAGAAATTATTGTAATATAAAAGATATTATTTCAAATATTGGAAGAAATTATCTTAGAAAATAGACAATAGTCCAAAAAAAATAAAACTAAAAGTATAAATGCTATATTTTTACAAAGTAAGCTTTTACTTATTTTATAAGGCCAGAAATAAGGCAAAATAAGATAGATTAGAAAAATAAAGAATATAAGCATATATAGAAAGAAGTTAAAAATTAATTTTAGCAACAATTAATTCAAAAGAGTAAAATTTGATATCTAGAGAGGATTGGTTATGAATCTAAGTGGAAATCAAACCACGAGGCACAAAATCAAACACCTATGGCAACTTTGGAATTTTTTTACAAATCAAATAATAGAATTTGAGAGGAGACTTGATTGGATTTTTTTAAGTATTGATTTTGAGTGATTTGAGTATGTGATGACTTTATAAAAGCTTTACAAAGTTATTATTATTTTAAGTAATTTTAAAATTTATAAAATAAAAAAGATATTATATTTTAGAAAATTTCATGAGTTTGGTAGTAGATTTACAGTTTAAATTTTGAGGATTTATAAAAATATTTTTCTAAAAAATATACTATAAGTTTGAGCTTGATCAAATAGTTGAATTAAAGGTTATTGAATTTGAAGTAAGTTGAGGTCTCAAAAATTGGACTTTGAGAGGCAATTAGGATTTCTAAGATGTTCAATAATCTATTAGTTGGATTAAAGTGAAATTTATATATGACATTAATAGACTTGATTTACTACACATATATAAAATCTGAAAATAATTGAATGGTTTGAAAAAGAGATATTGGCATTGGAAGTTCAATATTCAAATTAGAGTAGGAGGTCGACCAATACCCAAGTAGGTTTTAAGGTTTTTCTTCCATTTTCCAAGTGCCCAATGCATTATGAATGTAAATTTCACTCCTCAACTCCAATTATAAGATGGCATCAATTAAGAGTTGCTTATAATTGGTAGTGTGAAGTGAAGTAAGCAATTTGCAAAAACCAAGAGGAACAACAATAATACAAGTGAAAGAAATGAAATCTATGTAAGTTTTTTTTGATTCAGTTGTAATTCATGTGCTTAACAATCACTCACTCCAAACCATAACTTGAGTATATGATCTAAAATGTAAAAAAAAAAAATTTAAAATTTACATATATATATATATATATATATATAAGTTTTTTTTGATTCAGTTCTCATATGTCTTTTTAATATTATATAAAATTATTTCTTTTAATAGAATCTTTAATTTTTTTAACTAATATTTTCTAAAATTTTATAAAATTTCAATTTTTTATTCAAATAATCTTAAATGTATTAAAAATCTATGTAAAAGACCAATGTCTCAACTTAGTACAAAAGAAGTAATATCCACAGATTACATTCTACTATTTTGTAGCTTTGTGTAGAATTTCTTCTACATTTATTTTTCAATCTATTGAAAAAAATATACTTCATTATGATATTATCTTTCCAAAATTCATTGATTGGATTAGATAATAAATTAGATTATTAATTTTTTTATACCATATTCTAAATTTTTGCATAATATGTTGGAATCAAAGAAAATAGCCGATTTTTTATACTTCATCTCACAAAATAATTAAATAATTGTATAGGCATTCAGTATGAAATTTTATACTTTGAAAAAAAAATTTGCTTGAGCAAGATTTAGAGGATAATGAGAATCAAATAAAAGGCTTATTAAAAATTATTAAAAATATTAAAAAAATAAAACCAATAAAAAAATTATTGAAATTAATTTATTTTATTTTTAGTTAATAAATTGGTCTTTGATCATCAATTATATTTGGATTATTAGTGGAGAATTCATAACATATTCTCCAAACTTAACAAAAAGTTATATCAAAACAATAATACTACTATTGATTTAGTAGCAAAAAAATAAAATACTCTCCATAGTATAAATAAATAAATAAATAAATAAATAAATAGTTGAAATATATTTTATCCAATCTTTGTTTGTACAAAGAGATTATGTTTATTTGACTTTTATGGCATAAAGGTGTAGCAATTATCACTTGGAAGGAAAGAAATCAACCTTAATATTAACAATTACTATGCTGTGTGTCAACTCCAAACACCTGAATTCATTCTCCATTGATTTTGGGGTTGCCACCAAACTTGTTACATTTAAGATTGAGCTACTTCTATTTTATAAAAATTAACATTCAATTTCTAAAATTAAGATCCTTAGAAGTCCTTTACTTGGAAAGAAGATATTTTTACAAAACTCTATATTTGGATTAAATTTCTATTAAAATATATAGTCCTGATTAAGGGGACTTGTAATTTAAGTGGAAAATCATTCAAACAACTGCACATTGTTGACTAAACGGAGGAAATATCAACATGCTCTCCCAAATTCATCCACCTTAGGATCCATCATCCAACGAGAGTTCGGAAGCGAACGACGTTCCGGTTCCCGAGGGGCGTTCCCTCTCAGTGTTCTCGTGGTGTTCCCAGTGCCAACTAAGCTGCGACGTGTTGTAGTAGCGACGAGTAGGCCAGGAAAGGGTGACGATGGTGCTGGACTTTGAATGCTGTCGCCATCCGTGACAGGGCTGGGCCAGCTCAGCAGATTTGAATTTGAACGGCGTAGCCGATGAACGCCTTGATGAGGCGGATTGGTGGATCTGCCGTCCACCCAATGGCGGGGGTGGGAGGGTGGAGAAGCAATCGGAGCTGAAATCCTCTGGGCTGTCAGATTCATGCTATTTCGCCGAATTTGCAATCTAGGTCACTTGTGCGGGGAGCCGCATTGCCATCGTATGCGAGATCTGTGAGCTTCCATGGCTGTATTTCGAAGGCCGAAAGCTCTCGCGATGTGCCGCATTTAGATTACGCCAATCGGTGTCCGGAATGCGAAAGCGAAAAAGGGGGAAAAAAATGATAAAGGAAACCCTTGTTTATAATTACCTCAGACTTCCCCCAGGAGTAAGATCCCGTTTCGCTAAGTTGGATGTTTCTTTGGCTTCGAATTGCCGCACCAGTCTCATGTTGCCGATAAACTGGCGGACAGATGAAGACCCATTTGTTTTAACTGAAATTAGAGATCTACAGATGAAGACCCAGATGTTGGGTGACAGAGGGGAGATGGTTTTTGGGAAAATGGGTGGAGTCGGGATTGATGGTCGCCCGTGAGCTGGACGTGGCGGCTTTCTTTAGCACGGGTAATCAGCGGCTGCTTTTTCACCTTTGCTCCCTCTGTGGTTTACTCAGAGGGAAAGCAGCTCCTTCGCCTCTTAGGATGAGTTGTTCCTCGGCTGGGGTGGTTTGGAGCTTTCTAGTTTCTTAGGTAGAAATGCCTCGAGGACAGTGTCATCTCCTTAAGTTTTGGGCATCCAGCCCCATGTCTGACCCCCGCGGTGGACTTGGCGAGCTCGCTCGATGATCCCTGTTTAATCGTTCAAGGCTACGTCTGGTATAATTGCTGTGCACGAGGTATACACGGTTATGGTGCGGCCAGAAGGGCACATTTATATTCGGATCGTGTTACACGGGCAAGCCTTGTGGCTCTGTCGCTCCTCATTTTGATAGGTGCATCGGAGTCACTCGGTTTCGTGTGGAGTGAGCTTAGTCTGTCTCAGTTGGAGTAGGCAAGATTGGTAGCCAGGGAACAGCAGGCGCCTTTTCTTCTCATTCTCCTTCTTCCCCTTCTTTTGTGAACAGTGCAAGTAGTTGGTCGATCACTAGTTTCGTCGGAGGTTAGCAGCGATTTGTCAATTTGACTGAGAGGCCTCGCCTTATCAGTTGTTTGTGAGGATACTTTTGACGCGTCTTTATGTTGTAGGCCCTTGTGTGTTTAAGACACGCACGGCTCTAGTTATGTGAATTTTGTTGGGGACGAAATGATGTCCCCTTTCGAGGATAACCCAACCTCACGTTTTTACCTCTGCATTGTTCTCAATCAACCAATTGATAGAGTGCCCCTTTCCGAAGTGTCTGTACGCTGTGCAACTGCAGCGTAGGTCCAGACCCTTGATGTCGGAGTTCACATGACTAACTGGTGTCTTGTGAACAAAATCCTTCGACATTCAATTGCATCACAGTGTTGGATTTGCTTGTAACTGGAGGAATTTGCTCACATTAATACCAATTTCCAGCAAGTACGGGATGTTTTTTTTGTGTTGTTTTCAGAGGGACCGAAACTAGATCTACTCTGGTCCTGGGTTTGAGTCGGCGTCTTAAGTACTCTGACTGACTAGGTCAACATTTTCTCTCTACGCGATTGTTTATTTTGTACACATTGGAAATAATAGTCTCTGCTTGCTATATACTTGGGAAAGTATGGGGCGCATCATGTTTTCTTGCATTACGCCCGAGGATGATTGCGTGCGGGTTGTTTATCCTGACGGTCACGTCGACAATTTGAGCAGAACTTGCAGCGTGTATGAGCTGCTCCTAGGTAATCCAGATTACTTTGTTTGCGGGTGCACCCCGTACACACTTACGAATCGTATGGCAGAAGATGAGCAGCTTGAGAAAGGATTTACGTACTTCGTTTGCGCTTCGCCGAATGCCCAGCCATTCCTGGAGCCAAAGAAAGCGTACAGAGGGTCGAGAATCTTGCCTCGTTTTCCAAGACATGGGGTTCAAGGAAGAGAATTGCGAAGTCCTTCACATACAAGCAACACGCAGTCGCGCAAAGTATTTGATTTGCACGCGGCTACGATGCAGCTCGAATCCTTCAAGAGCGCAGGGGCGCCCCGAAGTCCACATCATCACCTTGCAATAGACAGACCACCGAAGCACCTCAAACTCGTCTTCTTCCGTCACTGTTTACAATCGCTCAGGCTGCCTGGGCACTATGGGGAGCTGCTGGATTCATCTCTATCCCCACATTCTGATAAAATTCCAGAACCTGCACCAGCCATGACAGACGAGGTTCATGCCATTTTAAAGAGTGCTGCCAGATCTGAATTAGGGATTCATGTTTCAAGGAGGCAGGAATTCTATCTCAGGAGGGCGCGAAGACGTCGTAGGACCATGTGGAAGCCGGTGTTACAGAGTATCTCTGAGACGATGCCTGTTGTAGAATTTCTTGCGCCAGCAGCTTCTCAAGAGAGTGATTGTTTGTCCAAGAGATTCTCTCCACCTCGGCCATCTCCACCCCGACCAGTTAAGAATATCTCACCGCCCCGTTACCCAGTAAATACAACTCCATCAAAGAGCGTTACACCACCAGAATTGCTGGCAGCTGGGCCAAGGGTCTGTACCGCACCTCGGCCGCAGAGAAAACCAACCAACCAAAGGTCTCTGTACACGGCCTAGTACACAATTTTACTGATATGGCGGACCAGGAGGTATTCTTCACGTTGGTAAGAAATCGCTTTACTGTCGGTATCTCGTAGGATTAAGCTTATCATTCTTGAGCAGGTCTTCAAGCCATAAGAAAATGTTTCATGGGTGTGCAGAACATCGGCCATACTCCATTGTGGAGATTCATGCAGCCGTTAAGAAACTATGAACTGTGGTCTTTGCTTAGATCTTCGACCTTCTCGTCACACTACCACAGTTTCAGTAGACGCCGTTTGGCTTGCCGATTGTACGTATTTCGTACTGCGTACTTTATTTTATTAGTGATCTTGGCCGTGATCAAAACTGATCGGTTTTGTGAGCCTCAGAGGTACAGCATCTGTACAACAGCATTATAGGCTAGATTCTTGGTAACGGTAGCCTTGAGCTGTCTTGCTTGCCTGAGCTACCATCATGTATTATTTCTCCCCAATACCTGTGATACGGTTAATCCTCATATCACTTTGATACATATCCCAAATTCGTCTCGAGGTTTTTGAAGTATCAAAATGTACTAGTGTCGATATTCCATTTGCCACCTTGAGCACATTCCTACGGTTCACACGGCCTTTCTACTGACTTGTGTGGTAGAATGAAATGTCCAGTTTGAGCAGCACTACAAATTGCCAGGCGAGGGATTGCTCTTCATTAAAGTGGACGATGTTCTGTTGTTTTCTTTTCTGCGATTGACCGCAATTGTTGAGGCAGACTATGCTTCCGTTACCTCAATCGGTGCAGCTTCATGCGTTGCTTTAGTTCATTACTGCAATATATGGCCGTCGTAATTGACACTGATGTTGTTACACTGCTCCTATCGTTCTCATCACGCATGCAGTACAATATAACTGCCAGGAATAAAAGTTCTTGATCAGAACTTTCTTCAGTGTGACGAAAGCATGTGAATGTCATGCAAAATTGAGTCCAATTTTCAGTGCAGAAAGGCAAACACAAAGTCACTGGAAATTGATGTTATCGTTGGTGAAATTTGCAGGAAGAAAAAGGTATAACGAACACAGCGTGGAAAGTTCAATGTCAGGCTCTACCTTTTGGACCCCTGGGGTGTACTTTTCGAAACAACGAGTCCGCATGTCACGGGAGGGATCTGCAGATGATTTTGCGTCGTCAGACCACTCACGGTTGCAATTGAACCTCTGACACCTGAAAACAAGTAGAAAGAAGAAAAGATAATTACAAAAATAATTAATCAATCAATCATACAATTTAAAAAAATTCTATATGTATATCCAAATTAAACTAAACAACTACAAGGCAAAAACCACAAAGTATATTAGCATATTCAATGCATAATAGCTTGGATGGACCATCAAGGACACACAATTGTAAAATTTCCAAGTATCTTCTTAAAAGGTATATTAGTCCAGTAATTCCAATTTACTTTTTATGTCATGAATATATTGAAGTAAAAAAGTTAGTGGCAGTTGAAATAGCAGCCATAGTTGCTAACAATGAAATAAAGATTCTCATGCAACAAGCGCATCAATATCTCCAAGGAAGAAGTTGTGCATTGGTAAGCACAACAATTTCATATGAACATGAGGAATTATATACAATCAATCATTTGTAGATTAAGATTAAAAATGAAACCTTGAATTAATCAAACCATGTAATTGATTAAGATTGATGCATTGGATCTCTTTTTAAATATTTTGGCTCTTGCTTAATTCTTTGTAGATTTAATGCCAACCTCACAAATTCACATTTTGTATAGGTTAATAGGATTTTTTTCATGGTTTATATGGTGTAAATAAGAGCATGCATAAGTTCAAAGAGGATAGATGTTTGTAGTAATATAACTATATGGTAAAAAATAAAAATATAGATATTATTATAATAGAACCTAATAGAAAGATATAGTAGAAAAAGAAAGAAAAGAAAATGATAGAAAGGTAATAAAACATTTAGTCTTAATGCTCCTTTTATAGAAGAGACTTCTATTTACTTTGCAGGAGCATAAAAACCTCAAATCAAAGTAAATAAGATAAATAAATAATATAGCCATCTTTAGAAGAGAGTCAACAATAGATTTAAGTAAAAATTATCTCAAATTATTAAAAATTGATACTCAAAGAGGACTAATTGTGAATCTAAGTCAAAATCAAATCCTAAGATACAAAACTATGCTCATATGACAATTTTGAGGTTCTTTTGCAATTCAAAGAATAAAATTTGAAAACAGACTTGAGAAAAAAAAATTAAAAATTAATTTTATGCCATTTGGATTAATATTGAGGTTTTTAGATATTTTTAAAATTAAAAAATGTACTTAGTAGATTTAGATTTTGAAAAATAAAATAAATTTATAAATTTAGAGATTTTGTGAATTTTATAGCATATTTACAAGTGACAATTTGGCAATTTGCCATTGTACTTGTTATAAATATGTGTAAAAAGTGGAGATCAATGACGCAATTAAATTGAAAGTTACGAGAGTTTTTATAGATTGTGGTCTTTGATATTGGGGTTTAGAAGACTGGTAAAGGTTTCTTAGATATCTATCAATCTGCTTATTGAATTAATATACAATTTTTTTCATTTGTAGCTAGCTTGACTTCCAACAATTGTATAAAGTTTAGAATCAATTGATTAATAAAATTAATAGATCATGACTTTAGAATATTAGTATCAAATTTAAAAAAGGAAGTTGGCTAACACCCAAGTAGAGTTTAAGAATTATTGTCTATTTGGTATGTGCAATCTTTTTAATAATATTTGTCTTTATTGCTAACTTAGTTTTTGTAAATATTACAATTTTTTTAAAAAAATCAATGGTTCAATTGTTTATTATTGAATTTTTAATTTGCTATATGATTTGTTAAAGATTTGTTTAAGATTTGAGATTTGATTAGGTTTTTCTTAGAGTTGGTTATGGATTTAATTAGGATTAAAGATTTCACTAGAATTTCATTAGATATGATCTAGGATTTAGAATTTTATTGGAATTTAGGATTTTATTAGGATTTAATTAAGGTTCAATATAAGATTTGATTAAGATTCATTAGAATTTTAATTAAGATGAATTAGGATTGAGTCAAGATTTATTTAGGATTAATTTAAATCTTCTATTTTTAATATTTCTTTAATATTTTTTATTATTTCTTTAAAGTTTTTATTTATAATATTTTTTAAAAGATTATTATTATTTCTTCAAGGTTTTATTTTTATATTTTTAAGTTTTTTTTATTATATTTTTTTAAGATGAATTTATGACTTCTTTATATTTCTTTTGTAACTTCTTTTAAACTTATTTGGATTGTTTATAATTTGATTAGGATTATTAAAGATTACTTAAAGTTTAGTTAAGACTTTGTTAGACTTCATAGGATTGATATTGTATTTCTATTTACCTTCTACAATTAGATGCTTGGTGTATTCTTAAGTAAGAATACACATAATATGACACCATATTATTATAAAAAAACTCTATAGATAGTAAAAGAATTATCTAATCATCTTATTGGTAGTTGATGGTACACTTCAAATACTACTTTAAAACTTAATTCACTTACTCCATTTGGCAAATAGTTTGAAGATTGAAAGCCAAAGATAGTTTTATATCTACCTTCAAAATCTTAAAAATAATTTTTCAAAAGCTTGATACAAATTGCATCCTCTTATCTAATATAGTATCCTTTAGCAATCCATCATAGCAATAGATATTATCAAAGAAAAACTTAGCTATTTCTTTATTTGTAATAGATTTTGTACATAATATAAAATGTACCATTTTGATAAATCAATCTATTATCACAAATATAGAATGAAGAAAACTTGAGATTACATGATCCATAATAAAGTCCATAGAAACAAAAGACTATCGTTGTCGTAATGATATAAGTTTGATCTCTACTACCCTTTTTTAATCACTTTTTTAAAATGTGGTTGTAAAAACTTCCAAGAATGAATTTAAATCATAAAATATTCTTTTGAATATTGTAAACTATTTCTTCCATCAAAGATATAAACCAAGAAAATATACTCTTAAACAAAAGTGCATCTACAAATCCAACTTGAATAAATCCATTAGCATACTCAAAAAGTTGTAACCTTAAACAAAGCTTTATTTGTTATAGAAATCTTCAAAATTTTGATCTTATTCCATTAAACTATTGAAGAAATACTATAAGCATAACATAAGTAAGTAGAAATCAGCAAGGTTGCACATAAGAGAAGTGTGGAATAAGATGTCTCTTACTTCCAACACCCGTTACTTATAATCAGAGTTCACATCCAATATGTATAGACTTCATCCACATTCATCTATTACTAGCTGCCACTCGAGACCCTAAACTTAACCGCCTCTCGAGACTCTAAACCTAGCCGTCTGTTGAGACATTAAACCTAGCCGCCTGTCGAGACCCTAGCCGCCACTTAGTCCTTAGTTGCCTTTGACCATTAGCAACTTACTTAAGATAATATTCTCTATAAGATAACTTATTTTACTTTTATTATTACCTATTTATCTCAACATCTTTATCTTTTACCTCAACACTCCCACTTTGCTAATTGTCAAAGCCCTTCAAACCTAATGCCTTTGTCAACATATGATGTCTATCTTTGACCAATGCCTTTGTTAACAAATCAGCAAGCATATCTTCTGTTACACAATACTTCAAGTCAATCACTCCCATTTCAATCTTCTCTCTTATAAAGTGATGTTGAATGTCAATGTGCTTGATTCTTGAATGATGCTTTGGATTCTTTGCAAAAGCAAGGCATCCTTGATTGTCACAATTCAATGGAGTTGCTTCCAATTGCACAAGTCCAATATCCTCCAAAACTTGCCTTAACCATGTTGCTTCCATTGCATCCTGGCTTGCTGCCATATACTCCGCCTCCATTGTGGACCTTGCAATTGTGGGTTGCCTCTTGCAATTCCATGAAATTGCTCCCACTCCAACAAAGAATACATAGCCCATTGTTGACCGCCTATCATTTACATCTCCAGCCCAATCCGCATCACAATAACCATGTAAAGCAATACTTTCACCTCCAAGGCACAATTTGAAGTCCAAAGTGCCTTTCAAGTACCTCATGATCCTCTTGATGGTTGCCCAATGAAGTGGTCCTGCTTTTGACATGCATTGACTTACGACACTCACCGCATAAGCAAGATCCACCCTTGTGCCAACCATTGCATACATGAGTGATCCAACTGCTGCCTTGTATGGAACACCTTGTATTTGGCCTTCAACTTGTGCAAACTCTTCATCCGTGAGCTTCATCAATTTCAAATTGGACTCCAAAGGTGTTCCAATAGGCTTGCAATCCTCCATGTTGAATCGTTTCAACACTCCTTCAATGTACTTCCTTTGGCTCATTGTGATGGTCTTGTTAGCACGATCTCTTGCAAATTCCACTCCTAAGCAATAGTGAAGCTCTCCCAAATCACTCATCTCATATTCCTTTTCTAACTTTGTCTTCAACCAATCCATCATCTTTAAAGTATTGGTTAAGATGATTAAATCATCTACATAAAGGATAACAATCATCAAGAACTCTTTTGATTGTATCACATACATAAAATGGTCAGCCTCACTTCTTTGGAATCCTTCATTAACAAAGAATGTGTCAATTCTTTGATACCATGCCCTTGGAGATTGCTTGAGTCCATACAAGGATTTCTTCAACTTACAAACAAGATGTTGCTTGCCTTCTTCTACAAATCCTTGAGGTTGATCCATGTAGATATCTTCTTCCAACTCTCCATTCAAGAAAGCTGTCTTCACATCCATTTGATGCATCTCCAAGTCCATTGCTGCCTCAATTGCCACAATGGTTCTAATGGTGGTAAACTTAGCCACGGAAGCAAATGTCTCATTGAAATCAACACCAGCAACTTGTGAGTATCCTTTGGCAAATAGCCTTGCCTTATATCTCACAATATCACCCATTGTATCCCTCTTGGTTCTAAACACCCACTTACAACCAATTGAAGATCTATTTGGTAGAAGTTGAGTCAATTCCCATGTTCCATTGCTCATGAGAGATTTGTACTCTTCTTCCATAGCCTCTTCCCACTTCAACGCATTCGTAGACTTCATAGCATCACATATATTCAATGGATCAGCAAGGAGTGCAACATTGGCATGTTCTTCACTTACTTGAGGAAAGATATGGTCCTTCCACCATTCACCACGTTGTTTTCTTTCTCTTGTAGGATATCTCCTATCATTTGAAGAAGATTCACCTTGATGCTCTCCAACCTTTTTTTCTTTTGAACCTTGTCTCTTCTCACTCAAAGGTTGGTATTCCTCATCATCATCATCATCTTCAACTTCTTCATTGTTTGTCATCCCAATTGTATACACTTTCTTCTTCTTCTTTTTCATCTTCTTTGGTTCTTCATGTTGATTCAAATCTGCACTTTCTTCATT